TTTTTTTTTTTTTTTTTTTGAGACAGGGTTCCACTGAGCTGCCCAAGCTAGGCTCCAATTTGCAGTTCTGCCTCAGCCTCCACAGTGCTGGGATTACAGGCCACACACCCAGCTTTTTTCCCACAAATTGAAGTCTGTTTTAAGTACCAAAACACTTCAGATTTTAAGAGTTCTTGGAGAATTTTTCTGCTGCCTTTGTTTGTTTGAGATAGGTTCTCACTATGTAGTCCAGGCTGGCCTGTATTCTCTGTGTTCCTCCTGCCTCAGCCTCCTGAGTGCTGGGATTATAGGTGTGCACCACCACACCCAGCTCTTCTGCCTTTTAACAGTATACACTGGACCTGACCTGATAGAAGTAGCTCAGAACAGTAGAGTGCTATCCTAGAGGACCTCTCTGAGGTGGTCAGAAAGTGGGCTTAGGCTTTTTATAGTTCTTTTTCCTCCTTCCCATATCACTTCTACATTAGTGAGCTGCATTAGTGAGCTGCATTACTTCTACTATTAGTGAGCTGCCTATAGCACTCACTCTATACTAGTTCTTTCTTTTTCCTTTCTTTCTGCTGGGGGTCAAATCTGGGGTCTCATGCATGCTGGACAGGTGCTCTGCCACCAAGCCACATCCCAGAACCCTCATCCTCTTCTCCTCTTGCAGGCATTGCCTTTTGTCTAAGAAAGACATAAGCCTAGGATGCACTCCGAGCCATTCAGTGCATTGTGACTGCTCTGAAGCCTTCCTTTTTAACTCTCGCTTTCATTCATTTCCCTCCTCCCCGAGCTGCCAAGGGACCATGCACAGGTTGCTACTTGTTGTGGGACACCAGCACAGTGGCACTCGCAGATCCCATGAGAGCCTTCATGTGTGTTTGCTCATCCTCATGATTGTTCCACTTTACAGAGGGGACACTGCGGCCCATGCAGGTCGCTCAGCAGGATAGTAAGTGAACTTCTTACTTGGCTCTCCTAACTCCCCAGCCAGTATTCCTTTTATAGCAGGACCAGTGGAGTAGTTGAAATGCCTAATAACTTCTAAGACTAACTATCCTGGCAGTGGGGCTGGGCTTTTTCCAAGTCCAAGTGTGTACTTACTAAAAGTTGAATTGCTGTGTTTAACATATTTCTAAAATTATGTGACTGTGCAAGCTCTGGAAAGGTTTTCTAGCTAGTCCCCCAGTATGGGTCGTGGATAAAACTCCCTTGAGGACGTCCCACTTCGTCTCTACTCTTTCTGCAGAGCCCTTTCTCAAGGATTCCTGCCCCTCTCCGCTGCGGCCCAGGAGCATCTGCTGGCTCAGGTAGTGGGATACATGCTGAGGTGTGGGCCACCCCACACTGAGCCACCAGCCACCACCACATTTCTTCAGCACCCAGCTGGCACACAGAGCTGGGCCTAGACCTTCCTCAGCCCTCCACTAGAAACTGGGTGCTCAGTCTTTGCTGCATGGGGCTCTGGACCATTTCTAATGGAGAGCCATTAGAAATTGTTTAATGACAGATCTGTGCTGACCTCAGAAGTCTCTCTGTCCCATCCAGGTGCTGCCACAGTTTGCTACTGGCAGTTTGCTCTATAGTGTTTCTGAGGAGGAAGGGACCCTGGGGTATCTAGTCTTGTCTCATTTATAGATAACCACACTGAAGCCCCAAAAGGTAAAGTGACTTTCACCAGGTCACATTAGAAGCTCTTTTCACATGCAATTTGCTAATAAAAACTGAAGACTAGTCCTGTTCTCAGTGGGTTAAGTTAGAATAGGGTGCTTGAGGGAGCATTTCCCAGGCCCCCTGGAAGATGCCAGTAGAGGGCCCAAGCGG